TGACGTGTTGCATGCTGAATAGGACCTCCCACACATGTGGGTTGTTCCGTTGTTGGGGAAGGGCGAATTGATTTTTCTGTTTCGCTTCTCCGAATGGACCGAAACCCAACAGGGCAACTGGCCAGCCAAACAGAGGGAGCGCCATAGGGTGTGTGTGTTTCGTCATCCTTCGACGTGTTGCATGCTGAATAAGACACCCCCACACATGTGAGTTGTTTTGTTGTTGGGGAAGGCGAATCGATTTTTTCCGGTTCGCTTCTCCGTACCGGTTGATGCCCAGTAAGGAAACTGACCAGCCAACCGAGGTGAGCGTTTTGGGGTGTGTGCTTTTTGTGGTCTTTCCATGCACGGCATCCCCCCTCCCCGTGTGTGTGGGTTATTTCGTGGTTGAGGAAGGGAAAATTGCTTTTTTCTGCTTTGCCTTTCTGGTTGGGTTGTGGCCCAATAGGGCGTCTGGTTAGCCAACTAAAGCGAGTGTCCCATGGCATATGTGTTTGGTCATCCTTTGGCACATTTCATACTGAATAGGACCTCCCGAGCGTGTAGGTTATTTCGCTTCCCGGGGAGGGTGTAAACGGGTTTTCTGCTTTGTGCGTTTGCGAGGGGGTGACTCCAACTTGATAGTTCTACGCCGAGCGGTCGGGTCACCGCTTTCTCTGTCTTCCCTGTCAAGCTTCTTGTACAGTGGATGATCGACGTCGTTCTAGCGCTGGGCAAAGCTGGAATACAATGCATTGGAGATCCAAGCCAACATGAGCACCTGATGGAGAGCCGTTGCAGCTAGGCTTTGTGGTGGTAGATCTAACCTCAAGGTTGGGGAGGTGACTAGGTTGAGAGATTGAAGTCCTTTTGGGGAAGAAAACAAATGCAAGGAGAGTGGTTCTAAGAGGTAGAGGCACCAGTGAATTGGTTGTGTGGGGAACGTGTATCGTACATTGGACTAGGGTCATGTATACACGTACCAACAAACAAAGTTAGAGGAAAAGGATATCTATTTCGGCGTCAATAAACCAGGGATACATCCAAACTCATACAACCAACCATGAAAATGCCGACGCCGAATTGAACAGTGAACACCACAAACTGAAGAAGCCGGAAATATAGGTCAACTAAGTTTAGTTTTAGTTTGAGTCTTTGATTTTCATTGTAAAATTTCTTACCTCTCTTACCGCAATTACTAAAAAAAACTAACTCACGGCCGACGGGCCCGGCGGCAAAGCGCGTCTCGCCTAGTTTATGACCGGTTTTCAGCAAGATAACCACATGGCACGGTTTGCATCCGCCGGTCGCGACTTAACAGACCGTGGAACCTTTTTTTGCGAAAACTCTCCATCTATTAATGTTCAATCATGATAGTACAATAAACATAAAAAAAATTATATCTAGATTCGGAGATCACCTAGCAACGGCTACAAAAACTGAAGCGAGCCGAAAGCGCGCCGCCATCATCGCCCCTCCCTTGTCGGAGCCGGGCAAAACATGTTGTAGTAGACAGTCGGAAAGTCGTCGTGTTAAGGCCCCATAGGACCGGCGCATCAGAACAACACCCGCCACCGATGAAGAGTAGCGTAGATCGAAAGGATCCAACATGATGACACACGAGCGTAGACGAACGATAGCCAGATTCGAGTAAATCCACCAAAGACAGATCCATCAGAGACATACATTCACACTCCCACCAACGATGCACACACGAGCGTAGACGAAGGATAGCCAGATTCGAGTAGATCCACCAAAGTAAGATCCACCAGAGACATATATTCACACATCCACCAAGGATGCTATACGCACCATCGGGACGGGGGGCTAGGTGGGGAGAACCTTATTCCATCTTCCCGCCGCCGTCTCGTCTTCATGAGCAGACACAAACACTAACAGAACTCGAAGAAATATCTAAAAACGGAGCCCTCCTACCGGCAAAGGGCCAGGATCCACCGCGCCCCATGGCCCTAAGGCCACCGAAGACGAGGCAGACTGGTGCTGGCGCCTACGGGAGGTAGAGGAACCCTAATCTCTTTTTTGGGAGGAGCGGCGGTTGCGTGAGTCTGTTGCGTTAATTTCTTCGATAGAGCACTAAGAGCATGCTTGGATCCCCTTCCCTCCTTCAAATCTTTGACTCCACTCCCAGCTCTTGGACTGATGGCTCCTCCCGCCAAAATGAGAGTTGATAAGATGTTTGGCAACTGACTCCACTCCATAGTCCATACACAATCGATCAGAAGGGTGCAGGGAACAATGCTAGTGGGTGGGAGTCGCACGTGAAGCTCGGTATTAGCCACTCCGTCGGATTGAACTACATCCAGCTCCACTCCACTCTTTCTACTCCGAGGAGCGGTAGCATTCGGCGCCGCTCCGCCCGCTCCGGGCCCGGGGTGCATCCGATCAGGCTCTAAGAGGTCCCTGAAGAAAAGGATAATATTCCTAGCCATAAAAAGCCTAGCCATTGCACCTCTCTACCCATCCCTATTCTCTACAGAGCCGAGCAATGTAGATCCCGACTAATCACTAGCAGCAGAGCCCAAGCAAGCTAGAAAGTGACGTGAACAGCAGCTAATCAAGAAGCAACCAAAGGAAACACAAAAGTCTTAATCGCATCTGTCAAGCCGTAATCAGGATCGTGCGCAACGATCACGACACGCCCCCTCCATCATTGCTCGCAGATCGTGCCGGCCGTTTCAAACTTTCAAGGGGGTCCATGCTGCTTTGCTTGCCACACGGTGATATGATGTCCACACCACGTTTAAAATGCAGGGAAATGTGCCACACGGTGATGCCATGACCCCGTGGCTTTTACAGGGAGTTTGCCATGGCAATTAGCCAGTGCGGGACAAGGATATATCGGGTGGGTTATGCTCCGTGATTCGGTTGGGTTCAAAGTGATCAGGAGACGACCTACTCGATTCCCTTCATCATGTGGCATAGATTGTGGTCTGGTGGCAACCAACAAGAAGTACACAATCATCTTCTCCGATCTTCGGAAGAGGAACAAGAAAGCAGGAAAATCGCAGGCACAACGCGTGTCAGTGAGTCAACAAACACGTAACGGCCGAGAGATTCGACATCGCCGCATCATTCTTAATCCCATTCTGATCAGCTGAGGTCGTCTGCTCGGCCTTATTCTGCACTATCAGACGCCCAGCTCCCAGCCACAAAATGAACAGGATAATAACCATGAAACACCACTCCAAAAATGAATAGGTTATATTAATGGGAGGTTCCTTTCCGGTAAAGATAATCATTTTATTTCAAGCAGGTCATGGCGTCTCCGTGATGATGGATCAAATGTGAACAGGTTGGGCTAATTAGGCAGGCGTCAGCGTGAGTGCGCAGTAATGGCCGTGTCGCCGAAAGGAAAACAAGTACACACGCGTGGCCCATCTCCCCTATATATATCCACCGCTAGCTTGGCGCCACCTGCTGTCTACTCGGCTCGGCCTAGCGCGCGAACCACCACCATGTGCCCTTGTCCCGTCTGAGCGAGAATCGTTGTCGCAAGCTCACGGGCGCCCGCACCACCACACCGCAGCACAGCGCAGGCGGCTTTCAGATTCAGTTGGCGCTCGGAGCTCTGAAGAGCACAGGGGAGAAGAAGAAGTGTGTAGATTCCTCTAGGAATTGTCCTGGAGTTTTGGCATCGGAGAGAAAGGGAGAGAGGGAAAGATGGTGTCCCAGAATCAGAGGACGCCGGGAGACCAGGTAGGGCAGGGGCGCCGCTCAGGGCCCGTCGATCGATCGAGTGTATGTTGTGTTCTTGGTGATTGATTTGGTGTGTTGTGGGCTGGGGCGATGCAGGTGTTCTGGCCCAAGGTGGTGCTCAAGAAATGGCTCAACCTCAGGAGCAAGGACGCCAAGTTCAACGCCGACGAGGACGACGGCGACGACGACGGGGAGCAAGGTACGCAGCAGGCCGAGGCTCCTCATTTCGGGCTCTGTGATTCGAATCTCGGTCGCCGGGGATCGCAGCCTCCTTCCTTCCTCCCCTTCTCACCTTATTTGCCTGCTGTCCGTCTCGTGCAGAGGAGAGCTGCGGCTGCGACGGCGCCGAGGCGGAGCGCGAGGCCGGAGGCGTGGACATCGCCGGTGAGCTCTTTTACATCTCGGTTTCACCTCGTTCTCATGTTTGGAAAGTTGGCTGTGCGCTTCCGCGGATCCATGAGGTGTTCTTATCCGATACTGAAGACGGGGAAAAGTGCGGCTTCGGACTGTTCAGCCCTTTTGGGGAAAGCATAGCTGATACCACATTCCCGCCGTCAAAAGTAGATCATTGCCAGTACTTGATTTTGGTGGAGGACTTCTTGCCGATTTTGCGCATTTTCACAATGATCGCCGTTGCTTCTGCCCGTCGAACACCTGTTACCACTGCCAAAATTTGCATTCTGAACTGCTAGTAAGTACCAATCGGAAGCAAAATTCAGAGTGATTCCTCATGAGCCACCCTGTTTTTGTTGCACGATCTGCAGAGGAGAGCCTGGACGCCGCGCCGTACAAGCTGCGGCGGCGGAACTCGGAGACGATGCGCGCGCAGTACATCAGCACCAAGGAGCTCAGGTACAGTCCAAGTGTATTTTCGGCACGATCGCGGCGCATTTTCCGTTTTCTCGCGGTTCTTGGCGTGGTGATGCTGATGGGTTCGTGCTGCAGGATCTGCATTGGCACGTACAACGCCGCCGGCATAGAGCCGCCGGAAGGCCTCGACATCGCCGAGTGGCTCGGCACCACCGGCGGCGAGCAGGCCGACATGTACGTGCTCGGGTTCCAGGAGGTGGTGCCGCTCAACGCCGGCAACGTGCTCGGCGCCGAGGACGTCCGGCCGGCGCTGGCGTGGGAGGCGCTGATACGTGACACGCTCACGCGGACCCAGCCGTCCTGCTCGAGGCCCAAGTACAGGTACCGCAGCCACCCGGCCACCCCGACCCGCGACGGCTCCGACGAGCTGTTCCCCGGCGGCACCGACACCGACACCGACGACGACGCACCCTTCAGCTTCCCGGTGTACCCCGAGGAGTACGTGGCCGCCACCCCCAGGATGCTCGGGGCCATGGAGGACCTAGAGGACGAGCAGCCAAGGGCGCAGCAGAGGGCGCTCCTGAAGACGATGAGCAAGACGGACAGGATCGGGCTCGCCTGGCCGGAGCAGCCGCTGGACCTGATGGCCACCGCGTCCTTGTCATCGGCGTCGTTCAAGTCGCCGAGATCGTTCGGCGCGCACAGGTCGTTCGTGAAGTCCAGGGTCGCCGCCGACGACTGCCCGGCCATGGTCCCTGACCTGGACCTCGACCTCGACGGCGAGGCCGCGCGTGGTCATGGGAAGAAGAAGGGCGGCGGCAGGTCGCCGTTCGTGAGGATCGTAAGCAAGCAGATGGTGGGCGTGTTCCTGACCATCTGGGTGCGACGCGGCCTGCGGAGGTGCGTCCAGAACATCAAGGTGTCCACCGTGGGCGTGGGCGCCATGGGCTACATCGGCAACAAGGGGTCGGTGTCGGCGAGCATGTCCATCTACCAGACCATGTTCTGCTTCGTGTGCACCCACCTGTCCGCCGGCGAGCGGCCCGGCAACCTCCTCAAGCGGAACGCCGACGTGCAGGAGATCCACCGGCGGACCCGCTTCGCCGGCCCCGGCGGCCTCGAGCTGCCCAGAGACATCTACGACCACGAGTCAGTGATCATGCACCACTGAATTGCATCCACCAATGCATCACTCCGGTGATCTGACAGAGATGTTCTTCCGCAGGAGGATTTTCTGGCTGGGCGATCTGAACTACCGGATCGACGTGCCGTACGACAGAACCCACAGCCTGATCGCCGCCATGGACTGGCCTCAGCTAGCCGAAAAAGATCAGGTACGCAGTCTCGCTCATCATCACCTCCGCCATGGAACTCTGAACCATGTTGCTGATGCTCCGTTTGTTGTGAATGTGATGATCAGCTGAAGCGGGAGCTGAGGAAGGGGCGGGCGTTCGAGGGGTGGAGCGAGGGGGTGCTGGAGTTCGCGCCGACGTACAAGTACGAGGTCGGGACGGGCAAGTACATCGGCGACGACCAGAAGGGCGGGAGGAGGACGCCGGCGTGGTGCGACCGGGTGCTGTCGTTCGGGAAGGGGGTGAGGCTGCTGGGGTACGGCAGGTCGGAGCTGACGCTGTCGGACCACAAGCCGGTGACGGCGACGTACGCGGCGGAGGTCGAGGTGTTCTGCGGCAGGAAGCTGCAGCGGGCTCTCACGCTCACGGACGCCGAGGTGGATAGCGGGGACGTGGTCGTGCCGGACCTCGAGTTTTGAGCTGGCCGAGGGGCATCTCGCCGGCGGTGCCGAACACTTGACATGCACCGGCTGAAGCATTTGGATACAGCAGATAGCTTTCAGCTGCGGCTGACAAATCTTGGACGGGGTGGTGTCGTGTGGGTGATGCTGCGCTCTGACGAAACATCTGTGACGGTGTTACTGGCAATGAATTTATAGGATTTTTTCCCTCTTCACCTTTGAGTTAGTAACCTTTCTCCCCTGTCAGGCTGTCAGTATGCTGTTTGAATCACACGCAGTGGCACAGAAGCATAAAAAACACAAAGAATGAGACGAAAAACAACAACAACAAAAACAAAAACAACAAAAATGCACCAGCCGGGAATCAAACCCGGGTCTGTACCGTGGCAGGGTACTATTCTACCACTAGACCACTGGTGCTTATGTTGTTAGTAGAAAAGGAACATGTGATTATTTCTTTTGTCTTCTAAACAGAGAACGGAACAGTTTTTTCTGTTTACAAAACACAAGCTTTACTGCTTAAAAGGGAGAATTACATAGAGGTTGAATACAGCGTAGAATAGAAGAGGGTACACAATTAACCCATAAACATCTTCTACGATCCTCGCTAGCCTGCCTGGCGCATCTATGGGCAGAATGTTTGCTTCCCGGTTTACATGCACGAGAACGAAGGAATCAAAACAGGAGCTCACCTCCTGGACATCATAACAAATGGAAGCAATATCCACCCTCTTAAATTTTGCAATATTGATCATCTGAACAACCTCCTACGCATCACTCTCGATGATAATCTTGCGGAAGCCAAAATCCATTGCTAAACGGATACCATCCCGGATCGCCAAGGCTTTCATGAACCTTGCATTTTGCGCGTACTGGTACCATATAGCCTGAGCTCGGATTAACTCACCATTGTGGTTTCGAATCACTACTCACGTGTCCCCATGAGCCAAGTTTCCTGAATAGCTGGCATCAATATTCACCTTGATAAAGGTTTCCTCTGCCGGTAACCAGCTTGTATTCTCTCTCAGCATTCGGGGATTCTCACTTCTTCCAGTGTAGCAAGATCATGAATAGTATCAATTTCCCATTCGACAAAAGACTGAATGGAACGACATCGTTCTCCATGTCTCCTATTGTTCCGTTCTATCCAGACAGTCCAGCACCCAGCTAAGATAATGGCAGCAAGTGATTCTAAAACTTTCTTGTTGTCAACAATATCTAGCCCAAGAGTCTGGATGAAGAATAGGAATTCTGACCGAAAGGAAATGCTTCAGTTCTGACCAAAAAACCTTGGTCCATGTACAACCAGAGAACGAAACAGAATTAAGCTGCAAGGTAACCAAAAGAGGCCTTTGGTCTGCCCTGCTTAAGAACTGCATGGGTCATGTTTTTTTTTCTTTTTTTTGTGAAGACGGGTCCTGGTCGTTGCTCATGAGTCCTCTTGCGAAAGCAACGGCGGCGTGCGCACACAAGACTCACAAGAGGACGCGATGTGATGCAACCACGTGACACGACCACCGTGTTGATCGTGTCACAGTACAGTTGAACGCGTACTACTGGTTCGCTCTTTTCTTGTAAAAAATAATATCGAACCAAATAGATGCAAAAAAAAAGACGAAATGCGTAACCTTCGTTAGGGCATGTATAATGGTTAATAAGACAGTCTTTTCTTAAGTCTTGCATACAATTTAGAGATGACAAAAAAATATATCTACAATGGGTTATATCTTAGCCTTATCTTCAATAACCAGTAATTCCTTAAAACATGGTGAGACAAATTGTGCTAAGAGATCATCTCTTGTCTTATCTTAAATAAGAGAAAACATGTCTTTTCTTATAAGTTATCTCTCCTCCACCTCATCATTTATCCTACGTGGCATTTCTAAGATAGCATCTTTGTACATGCCCTTACATTAATACTAGACGTCAACGCGCCCTTAGAGCATCCCTAGCAGACTCCGCATAACACCGACCCGCAAAAGACGTTTACAATTCCGGAAAAACGCCTTTACGGGTCGATGCAGGCGGCCGCAGAGTCAGATCCCACAAATGGACCCATATAAAAGAATATTCACCGAAGATGCTCTTTTATGGGTCGGCTAGCCAGGGTCTGCTCGGGCACCGCCCGTCGACCCGCAAACCGAAAGCCCTCAATAAGTGAATTTGACAGCAATTCCGACAAATGAGTTCAAATTCAAACGATAAAACATAGTTCACGCGCAAATAAAAGCATAGGTTTGTAGGACAAACGCAAATGGACTTGCAAAAGTGACGACCACGTTTTGATCATCTTGTCGCTCTTCACTCCGCACCACCTCCATCGAGGTCATTGCCGCCCTCGAATCCATCGCCGGCACTTGATCCAACTCCGGCGCCGAAATCACCGGTGGGCGCACTGAACGCGTCGGCGATATTGGTTCCAAATCCCGATGATCAAACATCGCTCGCACTGTAACACGCACCAGCCGACGCAAGCATCCTCCTCTTCAAGATGTCCCTCCTTGCCATGCCATGCCACTCTTTGGCGATGTTGTCCATGTCATTTGCAGTTCATTGTCATGATCCTATTCTCTCCGGCAAGAAGCATGGACATGGCTTTGTTCTCAGCGGCACGTGCCCTTCTCTCCTCAATGGCCGCCTTGCGCAACCCCTCGTCCTTGAGCAATTGCCACTTCTCTTGCTTCTCCCGTGCCCTTCTCTCGGCCAACTCTTACTTTGTATCCAATGTCTTTGCTAACATCAACTCATTTGAATGGACCATGGCATCTATCTTGTCCCGCAAGTTCGATGCTTCGTGTTCCCTCTTGATCTTCTCCTTTGTCTTCTTTTCACCATCTTTCAAGTTTCTTGGGTCGTCATCATCCTCATCTTCATCCATGTTCGTCAGTGCATCTCTTTTCGGCGGGGATTCCTTGTCAATCAACTTCCACTTCTCGCACTCTTTGAGCATATCCCAACAATGCTCTAGCTTAAATTTTTTGCCTTCGGAAGCTTCCATGTCTTTGTATTTTTGTTGAGCAATTTTGTCCTACACAATTTAAACAAAGTCAAATGATGCAATCATTTCATGTGATGCAAAAATGATGTGCACAACTTGGAACGTGAAAATGAACTCACATAGTCGGATTCCACGGTTCTACTTGGAGATGCATTGCGTACTTGTTCCAAGCAAGCTGCCCAACGGTTGCAAATCGGCTTGATCACGTCCCAACGCCCTTGGAGCGACCGAAATGTCTGTGGTGTCCTATTGGGATGCTTGGCCATCATGCGGAAGTATTGATCTTTGATTCTTTGCTCTTTTAGAGGTTTGAGATGTACCCGTGCAAGCATCGAGAGAGACCACACTCCAAGCCTTGATCAAGATTTGATCTTCCAAGATTGTGTAGTTCTTCGACCTCATGCTTTTTTTGCTTGCGCTTCCTCATACGCCCCCTCATCTACCTCCTCCACTTCATCTTCACCACCATGATCATCCATGCCACCCTCCGTTTCATTATAATCGAAATCAGCGAACGGGCCCTATCGATGTCGACGGCGTTAGTGTCCAACAAGTTCACGAACTCAGCTGTGGCATTGTTCGAACCACCGCTACATTGAGCGGCATCAAGTCAAGAACAACCACAATGCCGAAAACCGAAGCAAGAACAAGAGATCGAAGATGCTAACCTTCCGGCCATTTCATCGAACACCTCGCTTGCGGTGGAAGAAGCGCTATTGAACGGCATCGTCG